TTAAGTTGTAAATAAGAGACAATCATCACTTTTGTTTTTAAGCAGCTTCTGCATGGAGAATTTCAATGTACTGTTTCTTTTTGACAGAAAGAAAGGGATTTTACACTCTGCTTATGTAAGCACAAATATGAGGAAACCAACCGAAATGAAACAATAAGGGAACACTTGAGAACTGCTCCAAAATGTTCTTGGAAGTACATTTCTACCACCACAAAAATCTCCTTTTTTAATAGGATATGTATAATGAAAACTCTTTTATATACTGTAACAATTATTCTTCTTTTGCTCTAAAAATTCAGTTCTTTTTTAGATTTAATTTAAAAACATCCCCTTTCCTTATCTAGGCACAAGCAGGGTACACCCCAACAAGAAGAACAAGTGAATAAAGTCAGCTGTAACCTTTGAGTACCCGGAAATATTCTTAATCTCTATTATGATAACATGATACCATTTTATGAGCAAATATAACATGCAGTAAGGAGGGGAAGTGGTGGTGGGAGAGAGATTTTCTTACCTTTACATCTGAGAAGTAGGTTTTCAACATGTTCGAACTTGGGTACCGGGTGTAAAAGAACATGAGCTTGGCCTTTTTCAAGTGATTCGGTGACAAGCCTTCCTGCATGTAGGATTGAATTAGTAAAGGAAAATGCTTTTCTTGAGAAAGCTGTTTCTGAACACACACAGCCAGCAAAGGGCCCCCATCAACACTCCGCAGCTCCCCAGACCACAGGAGAAAATGCTAGCATTTAAATTGCTGCCCTGTCATTTTCTGTAAAACACCTAAATGAGGAACGTGAGGCAGTGAACTCAAACCCTGTGTTTCTTATCAGTTCTGGTGCTGGGTCTTGGGAACCTTGCAAGTTTACGGCTTGTGTACCATATGTATGTTCACTTGTTGCTAAGGAAACAAATGCACGAAGCATGTGCCGCAGAAAACTTATGGGAAGCTTTTTCTCCCTCTCCCTTTGCAATTCCCGCTAAAGTTTCTTTTACCCTTGGTGTCGTGCCTCTTACACAAAACCAAACTAAGGCACGGAAGGCAATCAGAGCAATGTTTTTCACAGGTGGTACATCTCACCTGATTCATGCGTGTCGATAAATTCTAACATCTTGAGTAACTCTTTCCAAAGCTACTGCTTTGCTTCAGTGGCTGCCCTGCAAATCAAAGCAAGATCTGCAAGAGGCAGAGCCCCTCTGCTGCTCAATCCCCCCCGCCACAAACTTGTCGCCTCCTGATTTACACAGTTAACTCCTCCGAGAAGGAAGCTGTATTTGGGGCTAACCAATCGATAAATGCGGGCTAGCAGATCAATAAATGGCCACTTACCCTATAAGGCAGCCTATTTATCCTGGAAACATCATTACCTTTTAGATCTGTAAACAGAAGCAACTCCAAGAGTTCCCAAGGGAATGTGAAGCTAACCATAACAATCTCGGCTTGCTGATTTCTCTCCCAGCTTCTTGGCTCTCTTTTGTGAACTGCGTGCTACGAATGGCTCTGGTCACATCTGTGCTGCAGGCTGGCCCTGCCATTTCCTCAGCAAATTAATGGCTTTATAATTTATCAGAAATGAAGATGCACGTGGAGAAAATCAATGTGGCCCCCACAAGGTCAATTAAGGGTTCTTCCCAGAAGCTTCTCTAAGGACTGTTTCTCCTAAACACAATGGCTGAAAATTTCCCTCAGTTCACACCTTACAGGGGGGGAAGGTCAACCAAGTTGACAGATGCTCCGCAGCCAAGGTGCCTCTTCCACCTTACAGCACAAAATACCTTATTCCAGGCCTCGAGACAGGAAACCCAGACTCATTTTTATCAGCAGGCTACTGATTAGCAAGGCTTTTTCAGCAGAATTCCTTTTTCTCTAATTCCCAAAATCTATTGAAACACTCTCCTTTTATTTCAGTTACAAGTTTGTTTTTTTTTTTTGTTGGAAAAATGTAGTGTTTAAAAAAAAAAAAAAAGCATTGACAATATTATTTTAAAAACTCTTATTATCTGTAAGAACATGGAAAACGGCTCAGCTGAACTTGCATTTTGTTTTAAATGCTTAATGATTACAAAGAAGATAATTTATGACTGACATACTTCTTGTGCCAAGAGAAGAGTTGAAAGAACCTCCAGTTACCTCCATTAGACTGATAGAGAAGTCTAAAAGAGCATTACACTCTGCAGTGCCATCTGTCAAAATACGTAAGTGAAATAATAGTAGCAAGCTGTCACCTATTGCTTAGTGATAAGAGTTTTAGACAAATCAAAACTTCTACGCCAGAAATCCATTTTGTTATGTGGTCCTTTCAGGAAAGTGGGGGTCCAAAGGGGAACTTCAATAACTAAAAGAAAAAGAAAGGGAAAAAAAATAATCCTAAGTCTCCTTAATTTGCAATTCCCTCTGACGCTGACAACATGCTACTGCCGGGTTTGGCGTATATTCTCTTTCAATGAGAGCTCAAAGATGGACTTAAACTTCCCCCAAAAGCCCTCCTATTTGCTGGATTTAAGCATATTAGACAGTTGTCTAAGCACTTGGATTCCTTCTGCATTTAGGATCTTTAAATATTTTTTGCTCTAATGCCAGAGGATATTGATATTGAATGAAACATGTATTAATAGATGCTCTGAGAATCAAAATCCTAGAAATCCTTTTTTTCTTTTTTTATTAAATTTATACTTGTTCTTAAGAACTGGGCAGCCTTAAAGTGATCTCAAATATGCAACAAATCTCTATATCTTGATCCTAAGGTTAACGCTTTACTGTGATAAAAGATAGGATCTGTAATAATCTAGCCAAAAATAGTTAATGAGAGACTTAAGAGCTAAGAATTAGATAACCCACTGCTATTTCAGAAAATAAAACCTGAACTGACCAATTGCTTAATTTCCTTTTTAAGTGCTTGGGCTGAAAAGCAACTGTTCTTCCAAGAAAGCACTAGCTGTTTCCAGGATACTTACACACGCACAATGACTCATGATGAAATAGATTCAGTAAACATACAGCTGTACCGAACACGAGCTAAGCCCCATTCAAGGCCAGGAAAGAAAATGAGCACAAATAAATATTAAGGAGGTAAAGGGAGGAGGAGGAGGGGTGCCGAATGGAACGCAAACAAGCTCTGTCCCAGCAGCTCGTGTGGCTTGCCTCAATTCTCTTAGCTATAGCTTTGTGAAGACAGATGACATTCAATTCTATGGGTAATGCAAAATAGACAATAACTGCTGAAACTTGAGCCAGCTGCCAGGTGTAAAAAAAAAAAAACCCCACACAGAAAAAAAAAAAAGGAAAGGGGAAAAAAAAAGGAGAGAAAGAAAGATGATAAATCCATAAATTAATGAAAGACATCTGCTCAGGAACATAAAAGATCAGAGGAACTGTGTACTGCAGCTGAACCTAAAGCGGTGTTCAAACAACCTGAGAGCCTCAGCACTGTGCGTTTACACACACAGCCCAGCCTCACCTCACCAGCAGCACCAGCAGCAAAAAGGCAAAATGCTGGGAAATGGGAAGTGCAAGACTGGGAATGGAACATACAACACGCACTTGCGTGTTTTAACTGGAGAGGCACGCAGGTGGCATTGTGCAGCACTGGGCTCACCTGCGCCTCAATCCTCCCCGGTAACACTCCTCTTCCGCAAAAACATTTTTCAGTGGAGATGATCTTTCACTCCTGGTCCTCTCAGCCTGAGCTCCCACAAATGCTCTAACAGGCTTTTCTAGCCCACACATGTATTGAGCTGAAGGAAAAGAGGTAAGAATGGGCTTTATCAGGCAAAAAAATCTGCACTAGCAAAGTCAAGCCGCTCCTTAAGTTACACCCCAGGTGCTTTTCATCAGCGAAGCTCCAAATAGCTGTAACTCAGAGCAGCATCTTCAAGACCCTCCAAAGAATGGGCTGGCTGGAAAGTATTTGTTCACTGCCCAGGTTTTATCAACAGCACGGAGTCACCCAGACTGCTGTACAATCACTCATTTTTCAAAGTTTAAAGAGTTTAATTTTCTGGTCAGACGCAATAACTTCTCATTTCAAAATCCTGTAATTCCCTAATTATAGCTTCCACATATGGGGGCTGTGAAACTTATTCCAGTTGGATTGGAATTCTTTTGACAAAGAAATATCAACTGCAGAAAGTTTCACTCATGTTTTGAAGCCCTCCTGCCAGGGAGAGCACATGAAACTTCTTCACCTTCACGGATGTCTCAGCAGCACACAAACTACTGTTGTGCCTCACTTTTGATCCATGCAAATGTTCTGGGACTGAACAAGGCTATTTTTCTTGAGATGCAAAGAGGATGCATGACAAAAGAAGACCATGCAGCAAAACAATTCGCTGCCTGTTTCTTTTGCAATTTGAATAAAACTTAATATTTGATTAAACAGATTAGTTTGCAAAGATACAGCCTGCATTCATGACCAAGATGGGAATTTCTGCTGCAGGTGCATCTTATCTTGTTCAGGAACATATGCAAACATTAACCATTTCCTTCTGCAGTTCAGCAAAGAACCATCTGATACATTTTATAGGCCTTGGTTAGAAACAAAAAAGAACAAAACAAAAAGAACCCCCCAAAACACAGGCTAGTTCAGGGCTTTAGCTTGCTACTAAAACCTGAACTTGGCTGTATGTGCTAGTCTTATCTTCTCATCCTGCCCATATTGTCCCGGAAAACAGATGTTGCTTTCTGCAGGGAAGAAAGATCTGCTTCTCTCAAGAAATATATTCCCTATATGTGCACATTCAAGCATGTAAAATAAAAGTGTCACAACAGAATCGACCACAAACACACCAAGCTCCATATCGTGCCCTTCCCTTGAAACTGTAAACTACCTGGACAAATAAGCTGCTGCTAGGAAAAAAACATCCATTCCCACAGCTGAGCTGTACACATTGTATAGAAGCCCTATTTAATAAACCTGCTTGTCCCAACCGCTTGGCATCTAAACCGAAATCAAACTTTAGCCTGTAACAGTGTCTAGGTGGGAAGGTCAGAGCACTTTCCCAATGGCAAGGGAAGAAGCAGGGCAAGCAGGGAGGAAGGGAATCTAGCGCTCTAGCACCCCGACTTTCCCCTGTCTGAGCCTTAGAGCAGCGGGGTACTCTCACACCCTTGTTTCAGCAGAAGCAACAAGGTCCATTAGTGACCACCAGTGAGAACAAGCAGAAGACAGGGAGAAATGACAGGAGTAAGGGAGAGATGCTCCACAGGTGGAGAAGACCAAGTACAGCCCTAGGACTCCTAGTTCTAACAGCGCTCCTTCAGCAGTTTCCTTCAGGTGGGAACCTGGCATTTTCCACCTCTGCCCATTCCTCTCCTGGGATGGGAGAACTACTTTTACACAACAACTATCAGTAAGCCACTGTATTGCTTGGTAGAAATTACTTATCTGCCCTGGCCTGAGTCTTGCCCTCAGCTCCCCCTCATGACCTCAGGGCTGCTTTCCGAGCATCACTGCTTGCAGTGTCAATATGCAGGACAGATTTTCAGTTTGGAATTCCAAAACCAAGTGGCAGTAGCTGGGATTGATGCTGGATTTAGATCAATTCTGTTTTGCCATACAACAGATATGGCAAGGAGATGTCCCTGCTACCAACACAGCAGAGATCCTTTTTCAGAAAAGAGGTCCTTCAAGCATCGTGTCCACTATCAGCTGTCTCTCAAAAACACCAATAGCTAAGGAAGGTGCTTTCAAACTAGGAACATTTCCCCCTATAGAAATGGGACTATTCATAAAGGTCGGACAACAGCAATTCTTGACTCAGACTTGACCTAAGTTAGGTCAAAGACTGGTGGTGGTGGGCTCTGGACCTGCAGCACCTTCCTTCATCCCAGTGGTGCCCACTGCCATGGGCGGGCTGGGATGTGCAGGTAACCAGCAGGTCTCGAGCCCTGCCAGCACCTGAGGATTTAGCATGCCTACAGAAAATGTGGTTAAATTCATCTACAGCCACCAGAGGTATTCATCACCTAGAAGATACCCAGTGATGGAGCACAGCCTCAGGCATCTGTATTCACATGACGCCCCTGGAAAGGAGACAAGTTCCTCACCATCACTACCATTACTCAGGCAGGAGTAGAGTTATTCAGCTGCAATTACTTTCATCAACCTGGGAATGAAATCGGCCGCATCTAAGGCTCTGTGCTTGTGCTGTTGCCTTCTGCTGGGGTCCTGGAGCTGGGAAAAAATGTCCACCTACCCTTCATGCAAATCCTCAATCTTATCATCAGGCAGACAGGGGGTTTTTATTCACTTTTAATATGACTGTGCTTGGAAGAAAAATCTTTTGACCAAAAAGCACATTAGGGGGAAAGATGGAAGGAGTGGGAGGTGTTATTGCTAAAAAAGAAAAAAAAAAAACTAGTACTAGTTTCCAGGGGGAAAAAAAAAAAAAAGAAAAAGATCATTACTGTGTCCGGATGTGCCTAAATAAAGGCAGAGATGGATTTTTTCCCCCCCTAACTAAAGTCTGCTATTGAGCTAAAAAGAGAGATTTTATTATCATCTTTTTTTTCTTTTTCAAGCAGGGGAAGTGTCCTGTAAATTTAATACAGCTGAAGTTTTATATTTAATTGTTCTCTCTAGCTTTCCAAAATAATTTGCTTTGTGTATGTTAGGACAAAAGATTTCAGTGTATGGCTGAACAGAGGTTAATCATGCATAGCAGGCAGCTGCACAAGGGCTGAGGAACAGACCTCTGGGTGGGGGAAAGAACTTGATGCAGACTGAATATACCAGTACCTGTGTCTTTCGTGCTTCGTTTCTCTTACACGCTTGAGAGCTGAAGGCTCGCCAACGACCGAACCATGGCTCTCTGCGAGCCCCGGCCATGACACCATTAACATGGGTCACATGTTGGCCTGGCAGGGGAGGGAAAGCAGGTGACCATGGCTTGAACGGTTTCTGGTCAAGAGCATTGCCCCCTCGATCACTTCCCCAGCCCAGGGAAACCCACCGGCACCTGTACCGTGGGCTTGGCTGCTTCCTGACCAAGGGCAGTCTAAAAGGCTGGCAGAGAGACAGTGGCTTTGTTATGTGAACACCGCTGCTGAAGGAGCACTGTCAGACAACACACAGAATCACAGAATAGTTTGGGTTGGAAAGAACCTTAAGATCAGCCAGTTCCAACCCCCTGCCACGGGCAGGGACACCTTCCACTAGAGCA